CAGGCTGTGCTGCGTGTCCGTTATTATATACCCCCCACGGTCCCAGCTGACACTGAACTCTGCTGATCTAAACCAAGACTAAACTGAACCAATCATTGCCAATCTTCTCTGCCCTGAAAGGCGCCACAGCTGTCCTAATGTATCTGCCACATTCAATCTCCGTCTGCCAGGAAGCGGCAAGTGAAGATGGGCGCTGATCAGAGGGGAGGTGAGCCAGTTTGACAAGGACACATTGAAGTTTGGCCAGTCAGGAGTGCAAGGACACTGACATCCTCTTCAACATACAGATGACTGAGTCTGTCAATGCAAAGAATTTGTGCATAAACTAGATAAGCCCAAAGCAACTTCTGTTCTATCTCTCGTTGATTTCTTTCTTCCATCTTACAATCACTGCCAACAAAATCTCAGTCTTCCTCTTGGTGGCCTTTGATTGGTGAGTCACAAACACACCCACCCATTGTCACTCAGGGGTCAGGATGTGTATGCCCCTGGCGCGCCCCGTGTGCAGAAGAGGCTAAAGTCCTTGAAAGTGGACGGTTTGAATCCGACCTGTGGCTCCATTACTGCATGCCATACCTTACTCTCTCTATTCCAGATTTCTGACTCTGTTCTCTGTCCTGTCTCCTCAATAAAGATACAAAAAGTCCAGATATAAATCTTGAAAAAAAAGATGTGTAAGCCCCGACGTTTGATTTCTCTCACCTGTGACTTAACCCTCTGTCAGACCTCATTTACCTGCACACTCCTCTTGACTGGTAACGGCTTATACTGTACGCCCTTTGGTCTCAGTGAGCCAATCAGAAGGCCTCAGAGCTGCGTGCTAACCTTGTTAGGATGTGTGCACAAATGTAGAAACACAAAAACTAGCAAGAGAATACAACTGAACACAATGTCATTGTTGAGATGGATATATATGTCATAGACTGTAAACATTAATGATTAACGAAGCCTGGGGGTCACCCATCTGTTACTGCAGGGGCTCCGGAGGCTCATCGGCTTCTTTTTTCAACACAGGAGGTTGCCACTTGATATCCGTTTGCATCATAGACTCTGTGAAGAGGAGAGAAGTGTAGCCACAGATGTAGAGTGCCCCCTGCTGCTGACTGGCTGCAGTACAGGTCATAAAACTTTATAAATCCCAAGTGTTCTCTTTTCTGAGAAGGTCAGTTTTTTGTTGAGATTATTTGATGTGAAAACAGAGTCATGATTGACAGCTCTGTCGACAGAGGCAACATTCTCAGCAGAGTCGAGGAGGAAGGCTGAGAGGGAATTTACAGTAACCAACACTAACACAAGTTTAGTGTTGTTGAACTTTGAATAACCGTCTGCTTGAGGCTGACGTGAGAATCTGTTCTGCTGCAGACTGTAGGCTCCTGACCTGAGGCACATCTTTGATGTTTTGTCTGTGAGTTGAATGTGTGTTCAGGTCAGCAGGAAAGGCAGCGTGTCGATTTTTCCACTCCTTTCTGCTCGGCTCCTAATGACGTCACCAGCACAATATATCTCTGCCATCACAGGGTTGTTGATATTCAGTCACACATACAAGCACAACTGCTGTATGTTCCCTGTACGTACATCAATTCTGAAAGACGGAAAACTTTACATCAGTTTAGATCACATTAAATGAAAAAATCAATAAACATACGCTAAATGAGGCAACCCTTGAGCTCGTTCAAGACGACAACTCGATCATGCGTCATTCGCCTGACAACACCTCCTTCAAATCAGCGGACAATTTAAGCTGCATCTGGTCCCTCCCTCTTTGCTCTTTCATTGCCAGCTCTGACCGGCGCCAGAACTGTACTCTTTGCTCAGACCCACCAACACAACCAGCATCCAGCTGTAGGCTCTGACTGACCGGTTTAAGATGTCTTCCCATCACTCCTCAGCTTTCTGCATGTAAAATAAAACTGTGAGAAGTGATTGAGGTCGGAGGCTAGACGTCACAAACTATGATCTGCTGCTGCAATAGATAGACCAATGAATTATAAGTAACCATGACTTATTGTTCTCTCTAACTCCTGGATGTGCTCAAAGTATCTCTTAATGTTTCATAAGGTTACAGTTTTAAGTTGTTTGAGCGTAGAACAGGCTGACTGACACCACCGTTAGAAATCAAGAAACAAGGTTTAAAGATGAATACTGACACATGATATAATGCTACACTATATAAACTATAATACCTATTCTCTGGAGCTTCACTGCTTCTTCACTCTGCAGAATTAAAGGTATAAAAAGACTCGAGGATCATCTGTAAAGACTCAGTCGCTGTCAGACTAAATGAAGTGTCTGTTTATTTTAGAGGTGTAATCAATGTGGTGTTAATCACTGACACACCAACGCAGAAGCAAACACTAAATATTGTTAATGTAAGCACTTGGATTCCTAATCTCTTTTTAATGACAAGTCGACCGCGCACAGGTACGCACATAAAACACACACGGGTAGGTTTTCTGCACACACAAGCATCCAGATACAATCATAACGTGCCGGTCCATAGGGACGATTTAAATCTTTCTTTGGATTTTATATTTGACTGATTAAACTGGATGCAACATTGTGCGAGCTCCTTCACTTCTTATGTGCGAGAAATAATGAGCAGCAGTGTTTGTTCTCACACAGACGATGTGTTACTGATGCGGGTGTGTAACAAATGGAGATGTTTCTTTTTATGGTATTCAGGGTGAGGATTTGTGCGTCTGTCCTCACCGACATGAATAGAATAACCTCTGTTAAGAAAGTAACCACACAGCTTTAAACATGAACTAAAATATAATGCACTCTCCGACATTCTTTTGCATTGAAAATTCACGAGCCGACAACAGAAAGGTAACAGAAAAGCCGAGCTGGGTTTCCTATAATACCCTTCTGTTTGCACGTGCGTGTTGGTCCCCGAGCTTGCACGCACAGCCATTTCCCCCCTCTCATCCCATGGCTCATAAAGTTGAGTTGCATTCCATCACGGGGCCGCCCGCACAACAAGCCTTTTCCCTAATTGGTGCTTGAGCTTTAAATTGCTTGTGTTTTCCCACAGCCCAGCACTCTCCCTAAATAGTTATCTGAAAAGTCCCCCTTTTAAAAAAGAAAAATGGTGTCAAAGTTCTGCATTAAGCATATTTCCCTCTCTAGCTGCTCATCGGGATCCTTCATAAGTGGACATCCCACTCTCTCTCTCTCTCTCTCTCTCTCTCTCTCTCTCTCTCTCTCTCTCTCTCTCTCTCTCGCTCTCTGTCTCTCTCTCGCTCTTCCTCCCTCAGCAATACATTTTATGGAGAACATTCGGTTAACATTTTTACATAATGCAAAAGTTGGCCCGAGTCAACTTTTTGCAGAGCTCAACTTTTCAAGAATCTACGTCTTACATAACCAAATTAAAAGAGAGAAAACGCCACAAGTGAAATTTGTTCTTCTCATCGGGTCAAATAGTCCGGTAGTAAAGCTGTACCGCAGCGAGGATGATACTCGGCTTTGTCTTTCTCTAAAATTAGACAAGCTGTGTAACTCAATCAGCCTGAGGGGAGCTTCAGTGGACTTCTAATGGTAGAAGAAGGAGCCATGTTTTGAAACTTGATAAAAGTAAAGTTGTCTCCGTCTGCACTTCCTCCTCCATTACATTGATTCTGGAGTCCATCTGTGGTTCGACAAATAAGTAGTTATAATAGTTTCATGAAATCTATTTTATCCAGTCAGTAGAGTTTGAGAATCCTGTTGTCGGCTTTTCTGTTGTTTTTCCAGAAGAGAGTGAAAGAGTTTATATCAAGGTTTTTTTTTTAACCATTTTATGTGGTTTTCTATGGACCCCCCCAAGGCTGGGGTGTTAAAAAACATTTTAAATCTGTTCCCATGGTGAACAAATCTGTGCTCATAGTTTAAGAAACCTGGTGCACTGGTTTATAAACCATGGGAAATGGATTCATATCTGTGCTTTCCATAAACTATATATAAACATGGACGTAGTCTCAGTAACATCACCCTTTGGTTTTTGAAGCCAGTCTATGATATTGGAAATGCTGTCTCATTTCTGCCAACCTAGAGAGAAGTAAATAGCTGGAGCTGAGGCGGGTCTTATGCCAACAACAAACAGCTACAATACGCCCGTCAGTCAGATTAGCCACCTGCCTTATTATACATAACGCATCCTTCATGGGATCAAAACTGATAAGTTATAACCGCACATGTCAAGTGTTTGCTGATCAACAAATGAGCTTTTCAGAGCAACATTTGTTAGTTTCATCCAGGCTGTAAATATTTAAATTTCTGATGTAAAATTTGACTTTTTTGAATGGGTGTGTATGGGACTTCTGGGGCTTTTGCAGCCAGCCTCAAGTGGACACTCGAGGAACTGCAGTTTTTTGCCATTCCTCCTTGGCTGTTTTTTTTTTTTCAACACCAGATGTTGCTGTTTGTGTGCAACCCATTGTTCATCTCATTATTGTATACTGTATCTCTCTTTTTAAGACGTTTAATCGATGTCCCACAACTTGAGCAGGGAGAGAAAAAAAATCATTAATGTCTATGAGAGCCTGTATGTAGGAGAGACATAAATACAATGTAAACATTTTGTTGGTCAGAGTAGGTCTCTCTGATTTACATCCTGTGCCAGAGGGGACGCCAAGCACTTTGTATAGCTGTAGCTCTGGCCCACATATTATTTCTCCTCCTGCTCCTGTTTTCTGCCTGTGAAGCAGAAAAAGCTCCACATTGTCCGGAAGGGAGGAAATGGTAACACTTTGTAGTTTTGCTATATGTTTGTACAAAGCAGATGGCTGTGTTGTTTCCTTAGTTTATGATCAGGAAAATGAAAGCTCAGCCTCTCCTCACTTTATATTTGTGAGAACTCTAATGTGAAAAAAACTTTTAAACATGAGTTTTGTACATTCTCATCTTTTACTTCAATTATTCATCCTTATTGCTTTGAGTTTTTGCTGATTTTATAAACCTCTTTCTAATTCTGTTGAGGATGGCTAACCAACCAGTTCTTTTTTCTCTCTGCCTGTCAGGTAACTCGCCATCCGAGGAGTCAGAGGAGCGCGACAAGGAGCAGCGGACGCTGACCTACCCGGCGTACATCGCCAGCCTGCTGGACACGGGTGCAAAGCGCATGGCAGCCGGCGTCCGTATGGACTGCACCAGCCAGGGCCAGTGTCCGCGCTCATGCCACCTCTGCCACATGAGCCCCAGAGCGACACAAGGCCGGCAGCAGTCTGAGCCCGTCCTGTTGCAGATCACCAAGGCTGCACCCATCTATGAGCTGGTGTCCAACAATGAGACCTACCAGGTGTGTACAGGGTTCATCCTTCTGGGGTAAGTGAGATAATCCTGAACTGGATTATCTCACTTACTTTTTCTGTGCATGAGTAAAGGAGGCATTTACTGACTTACCATTTCCACCATTTTCTCATCAAAGTACTTCTGACATGAGAGGACAGCAGCTCATAGTAGGCATTACAATGATTGTGTGACCATTAAAACCCAGTCAGTGTAGTAACTGGCGCCCAGCAGTGACACCCAGCATGCGTTTGTGACAGGCTGAAAGTGAAAACCTAACATTCCCTATAATAAAACAGGTTTCATAGACTTCACAGGTCTATTTTTATGTATTCCTTATTTGAGTATCATGGCTTCCTCTGCTGGCAGCATGCTGTGCAATTATCTACCGTACGCGCTGTGACTTGTTGTACTCCGTCAATACTGCACATCAATACCACTCCTACTCGTCTGACAGGATGGATCGGTCGATACAGAGCTGTCTAAACCCTCCTGGTGTTACAGGTGGACAGATACTGTCGCTGTTATTGACCGAAGGATGCTAGTGCTGGAATATGAAGCTGCTTGTATTGACGATGCAAAAGAAAAATGTAAATATTTTCCTGTTTGAACACACCAAGCTTTCTTCTTTTCTGTTTGGCCAATGTTGGAAAGGCATTCAAAACTGTCAGTAACAAAATACTTGTCTATTATTTATGGCAATTTCTAACCTTATACTGTATATATCGATAAATTTGCTCGTACACTGTTGCTGTGGGATTGTACTGTGAACATAAGCCTGTCCTGTCCCGGTGTTTATCAATCATGTCAGCGCTAGTCAGAGATGTTTAGCTGAAGTACCTGCACATGGGAAGTCTTTGTTTTCATGCACTGTTAACAACTTGTATTTTTAAAGGTTCATTTTAGAGCTTTTGGGCCTTTTTTTTTTGGAGAGACAGCACATTCAATGCAATCAGAAATCAGGGAGAGAGAGAGGGGGGGGGGAATGGCATGAGGGAAAGGAGCCACAGGTTGGATTAAAACCTGGGCTTTTAGCCTCTGTTCATCAGGGGGTGCGCTCTAACCAATCTGCTACCAGTGCCCCCCCAATATATAAATCGCCGTATTTATGATTTGTATATGAAATGAAACCCTAACCCATGAGTTGAAAATACGTCTTTGTGTAGGCGGGATTTCCCCCACTGCTGCAAAAACGATTTGAGAGAAATGCCACTACATCATCATTCTCCTTCATCTTTCAACACTACAATGAAAACATGATCAAGATTTATGTCACATACACGTTGATGTTACTGCTGACATCTGGACATTGAATGTTTATCTTCAAAGAGACATTGAAAAAGAAGGTTTTTGAAGGTCTTTTAAACTTTGGCCAGGTGCTCAGCGGGATGAAGGATGGCTTCGATTCTGTCCTGAGACTTTGCACAAAGCTGGCTTTATGAATTGTTTCACTAAGAAAGGAATGTATGTCTTAGTGTAGACCAGATTTAACCCACTGTTGCAAAATGCAAAATTTAGCAAAAATACAAACAACTGATAACTTTAATAAAAGTACTGTATAGGTAGTTCCAGTCTAAATGAGTGACACGCCCCCTGCACACAAGCTGATGACTTTTAATTGACATTTATGGTCTTGGTCTTGACTTGGTCTCGATTCCTAAATATCTTGTTCTTGACTTGGTCTCAGAGCCCTCTTGTCTCGGGTATGTCTTGGTCTAGTGTGGTCTTGACTACAACACTAATATTTACTACATAGGTTGACAAGTAAACAGAACCTCTGCCTTTTAAAGTTCCCCCCTTGAGTTGTAAGGGCTCTAGTAGTGACTCGCAGCTGTCGGTAAAAAGCCAAGATCTCTCTCGCATCTCATCCCATCATAGCATGCCAAAATAAATAGGATTTTTCTTTTTGGTACTTTTACATTTGGATGCTGTATCATTATATCATCACCACGTTTATATAAAGGTTTCATCTCCCTCATCTTTCCTTCTCTCTCTCTCTCCGTAGGCTCTTCAGGAGGCGATGATGAGCATGCTGTGGTGTTCTGGGAAAGGTGACGTTATCGATGATTGGTGTCGGTGCGATTCCAGCGCTTTTGGCTCGGACGGACTGCCCACCTGCGCCCCACTTCCCCAGCCGATGTAAGTTACTTAGAATAAGATTACCTCTTTCCAGACGTCACTCTGAAAATGGGCTGTGGTGGATACCATCCATCATTCTACTGGCAAAGCTTTGAGTCCTGCTTCACTGGTCTCAAGTAATGTGCCATGAGGATGTACGTGTATGCAGAATATTTCCACATCCAGAAAACTATTGGCAATGTTGTATATCAGAGCACACAGGGACCAGTGCCCCAGCAGGAGGGGGTTTGGTGCAATCCCAACTCAAGTTCTTACAGACTGAGCTACTGCTGCCTCCTTATAATTGGTCCCTAATGGGTGTATCAGATATGAAGCTAATCAGAACAGATCTACACTTGATGTTAGCCAAAAGGCCGAGAAGCTAACGTTATATATCCCATCTGGTGTGGGAACCCTTCAGGATCCTCTATGAGGGAGCGGGAAAATGTTGTTGGGAACAAGGAAGGGTGAACTTCTACACAATAGATAGAAGTCAAAGCCAGCCGTGTTATATTTCAGTAAGGCGCCTCAAACAGTAAGGTGGTTTATTGCCTTGCTCAAGGGCATCTTAAGTCGTGCTGAGGCGGTCTTTACTGCCAATAGAACATAACACACCCCTAAATTCCACCAGATGTGTGTTCGGTCCTTGAAGAACTTTTTACTTTAATCAGTGTGTGTTCTTCCACTGGCTCCACTGCGTCTCAGCTCAGTCCCAGCTCCGACAATCCAGAGCCCTCTGCTGCAGATACACAAGGATTCTTCTTTTTGCCGGATGCCATTGGACCATGCTTACCACAGAGCAGATCGAGCGGGACAGGAAGTCCATTAAAACATCCAGTTTATTTTCAGAATAAAACACCCTGTTTTGATGGTTCAGATCAATAATCATATGTGTGTTTGTTGATGTGTTTGTAAGGGTTTTTTATTGTTTTATACACCCTTACATCAGATTATCTCATGCTGTCTCGAGTGAATCTGTATTATTACCGCGGGAACTCCTTTGTCTCGGGACTCCAGCTGTACTCATCTGGTGTTTTGGGTCAGACTGAACCGTGCATGGACTGGAAACAGCTACCATCAGTTGATCTACTGCTGCCAAAAAAACTTCCTTTTAGACAAGAGAGATACAAAATCACGACACAAAATGAGAACCCACAAAGATGCAATATGACTGACAAAGGAAGCTGAATACATAAAACACACGCAAAACTACTACAGTGTGAAACAAAATCGCTGCAAAAATACAAAGTTAGAGAACAGCTAGAGATAACATACAACAGCACTGAAAGATACAAAACAACTATGAAGAGATAAAAAAAATGCCTTGAGAAAAGACATTAAACAAATGAAAGCAACTACAAAGAGGCACAAAGTGTGGGACAGTAGAGTTGGTAGAGTCAGTTGTATCTCAACTTGAAGGTCTGGGTTCGATTCCCAGCTCCTGCATCCACATGTCCGATGTGTCCATGGCCAAGACACTTAACCCCAAGTTGCTCCTGCTGCTTCCTCAGTGGTGTATGAATGTGTATGAATGGGAATATATAATAATACTGGTGGTCTCTTTACATAGCAGCCTCTACCATCATTGTGTAAAAAGCTCAAATCCATTTACAATATTATGTCGTAAAAAAACACAAAGGAATAAGACAACCACAAAGAGACCAGAAACTGCATTTATTTGTACTTTTAGTCACATTGTAGACCTTTTGATCTCCTGCAGACTGTCAGTTATCAAAACTGTAATTGGTTTATTCGTCCTCTCCATTGGCGTCGCTCTGTCAATGAAGTGAGCTGCGTCCGACATCAGGGGAAGAAAGACTTTATTTTCTGTTGACAGACATGTTTGTCACGTCGCACGATATGTTTCCATTTAGGGAGACGTTCTGTGAAACACTGTGGATAATGTTTGCTGTCAATTACAGTAATGACGCCACTTTTGCTCACACCATCCTCCACTCAAGTGTTGTGTTTCTTGCATCTCTCATACCCTTCATTTTTGTTGCCAGGCTGAAACTGTCTTACACCTACGAGCCCAGCAGCTCATTGGTCATCTTGGAGTGGAACCACACGGAGCCACCAATAGGCGTGCGGATAGTCGATTACCTCATCAGCCAGGAGAAGGTGACGGAGAGGAGCGACCACTCCAAAGTTGAGACAGGTACGTCAGTGCCCACATCAAAAGTTTAACAAGAAAGGAGGATGTTGACAGAAAACCAGGGATGCCAGTTTCAATAGTGGTCGCTTAAAAACTGCCACTCCAGAAAGTGAATAAATACATATACATATTACAGACGATTTGTTTTCATAGACACAGAATGTAACCGCCTTAACGCAAAAGGATGTTGTCCTCTTGGATTGGTGTCTCTCTCTGTGTATTTACTGAACCAGTGAGCGAGCCTGTTGATGTTTGGGATGTGTGTTCTGCTTTGAGATGGGTCATGAGTAAGTCTGTTGGCTTGTTTGCATAGGCAGCTGTTGGCCAGTGTTCAGTATTTGTGCTGGCTTAAAGCTTAAACCTTCCCCAATTTGTCAGCACCATGAGGCCACACGTGTTTTATCTCATTCACCACCTGGAAGAAATCTCAGTCCAAAAAGTCCACCAGGGGAAATTTAGTTCTGATATCGGAAAGCTCCAACTTTTCCTTGACAAATCATGCCTTTTCACATGAGTGTGTTTTTTAGGTTCAGGAAAACTGCACACCCGTTACACTCTGTGGGTCCGGTGGAATAGTGTGTAATGGTGAGGATCGGATCCAAAACCGAGTGATGCGACCCGGAAGTGTTAAAGTGTCAGCCATGGTGAGAGCTGTGTGAATTCTCTCAATGATAAGGAAAGGAGCTAGGATACAGCGTAGGATACATTGGACCATCCTTTAAGGAAAAAATAAACACAACCCATAATTCCTTGGGTAAACTTCAAGGCGATGCACCTTTTGACCACTCATTGAAACAAGTAATCAACATGCTTTTTTATGCCTTAATTATGCCTCAAGTGCTGCATGAACGCAGCAATTGAGGTTTTTCAAAATCATTCTTCATATCAAGATTAAATTCAGAGTTATGAAACCAAGATCCTTGTAAAATGTAAAATCATTAATCATATTAATCACAGAGTTATTCACCTTCCTTTGGTTGCATTACATAAGAAGGTAAGAACGTTAGATGGATATAGTCCATCTTTGGTACAATGTAGTTTTTACACAGCAGACCCACTTGACATCTGCAACATCTGCAGAGTGTAAGAACAGTCAGATTCCTGTATCACTGCCGTTGTCTTTGCCCATCCTTTTATTCACACCTCTCCTCGACCCTGTGACATTTCTCATCAAGGTAAAGAAAGAAGTGACTAGTAAAGGACCCTTTGAGTTGTAGTTTTTAAGGCCTCCACAAGATGGTGTTCACCAGCAATAATAGTAAAAAGGAGCTGAGGTATTTATAACAGTATTCAGGTTTCTGACTTCACTGACGTCTGTGCCTACACACTGTTTTAATGAAATGTTTGCTATTTTAAACACATTGCACACATACAGTATACAGCTGTAATCACTTTCACTGTTGCTAAATAGGAGCTTTGCAATTTGTCATACAAGTGATGATGAAGCATCTTCTCTTTACAAGTGTGTGAGGGGTTTTATTGCATTCAGGGATGTTGCTTATTAAGGTATGTTTCCCCCCTCGTGTTTTCACTAAAAAAGGAGGTTATATAAGCAGAAACAGGAGCAGCAGCGGGAGTGTTTGTAGCTCTGTCATCCATAACAGAGAACGCTGCTCATTTGGCCGGACCTATAGAAGCAGGCAAAACAGGAGCAGTTTATTTTAGCGGTAATGACCCAATCCATAATGGAGACTGTTACAGTGCCCTGCGAGTGCCCGAAGTTTGTTGTAGCCTAATGAGAGAATAAACTGTATTAGTCACAGCAGTGAGGATCATTCATCAGTGCAGGCGAGAGAGGAAAACACAGGTGAGTGTTTTCTTTATGGGTGCGAAGTAAATATGAGCTATAGATTCTTCTTAAGTAATGGGATTTTTAGCTGCAGACTTCAAAACAATTTCCTTCTTCTATATCTCTATGAAGAAAACTTTTCTGTGTGAAAACAACAACCTGACTTTGATTAAACATAAGGGAGAAAAACGGTCAAATCTGACCTCTCCCGCCCTCTCACGACCTCATTGAGTGTAGTCACTTTGCTGCAGGGTATGCATGAGCTGTGGCAGAAACCACACATCCTAACATACTGATCACTACATACTCAAACAGTATACACTGCATACTGCATACTGACTTGACTGTAGGTAACTAAACTACGGGTCTGGGCTACGTTGGTTAAGTTAGCATCAGGCTGAAAGTGTCGGCCCATAAATAGAATTCATCAACAATATCCATCAGTTCATACTATTATAGCCATGTAGTCATTTTATTTGACAACATATACATCATACAGTAGGGGTGCTTTTATTTGTATGCTGCTGCTAGTTGGGTGGCTGGCATTGGATAGTCTGGTGAAATGAGCCATGCATTGATGGGCGGTTTAGTAGTACTTAAATGAATGGAGATCTACAGCATCAGCATCCTCAAACTATTGCACATAGGGACGCTCGCTCCTCTCACAAACAGGTTTTTTTTTTAGGTGGTCTTTTTTTTTGCCTTCATTGTAGAGACCAGACATTGCAGAGAGTTTGAAATCAGGGACAGAGAGAGTGGGTTATGCAATGTCAGAAATGAGCCCCAGGTCAGATTCAAACCCGGGCTGCCCGCTCAGAGGACCCCAGCCTGCGCACATGTGGCGCGTTCACTAACCACTAGGCCACCGGCGCTCCTCACAAATGGATTTTAAAGAAGGACCAAGCTGCAGGAAGCTCATCACACTGAGCTCTCTTGTAGTATACATTTGCTAGTTTTCCAAACTAAACAAAAGTTACCTAAAGACAAATTGGCAGTTTCCAGGATGTTTAACCAGCTTTACTGTAATGAAACTTGTGATTTGGCCGCTGTTTTTAGATTATAACTTGTAATTGTGCCGCCAGTGACCTCGACACACATGAGGACGACTTCAAGGACGACTTGAAGTTAAACACAGAGGAGTCTTTGGAGCTTTAATGACAAACACCACCTTTACTATACGTTTCTGTTTTTTGAATGTTGGCACATTTTTTTTTCTCTGTGGTTCTTTTAACTGTGTGTCTGCGTCAACTCCCATTACCACCACTACCACTGTGTTCCATAAGCTTGAACAAAAAAAAGTTAGTCCCGTCCTCTAATCTGTGCTGTCAGAGCGATAAACACAGAAGAAGACTACAGCTAAAGTATTCAGCGTGACTCTCTGTGGTGGAGAAAACATCTCCAGGCTGTAATGCGTTGATTCAATGTTAACTTCCACCCAAAGTTCCAACAAACGTCTTATCTGGCCACAAAGTCAATCTTTCCGGCATCAGGATATGTTGTACTTTGGTAAAACATCAATGTTTACAGGTTTTGGAAAGAGTTAATCGTGATCAACATATTGAATGAAAAACATAATAAACAGGAACATATGCAGTCTTAAGTGCACAGTAAGTAATCAGTACAGAAATAACCTGCTGATGTCTCAGCTGTTATCTCTAAGTGCTTGTACAGACATGTTGCGAGGATTATTCCAATCAGATACACAGACCTTCAGCAAATGGGATTATATCCGTCAAGATGCTATCACTACCAAAGAAGAAATCAAATGTGTTTTTAAACAGAAATTAGCATTCGTGCTGGGCAGAACACAGAAACTGTGGCACAGGAATATTCCACTCATGACTTGTTTGTGGCATGCTGAGCTTTTCTAATTTACAGATTCTGTTAGAAATAAGGTAATGCTTGTTGCCATGGTGACACTTTAGCCATCCTTGGAGATTGCTTGGTTTACACAAGGAAATGGCTGAACTTTCCTTTAGCTCCTCTATCGCTACACTAGGAGAGTTACTTTAATTTTCCAACATGTGCTAGCTGATTCCAGGTGGTTAAAAGATGGAAACGGTCATATGCTTTTATTCTCACTGGAAAATAAGACTGCGGCCCATGCATTGATCGCCTTAAAACTAATTCACAGATAACCATTAATGCTAATCCATCCATACAAACTGAAGCAGAGGATGCTGTATCAGACTTTACTTGTTGCCTTGAGACTTGTTTGGTTTATTCTCTGCCACCAGAAATGCATGCACTGTTAAAAAACGCTGATTTCACAGCTACAGTTTTTAAAATTCAATCGTCAAAATAATGCAAATCTGGGGGAGAAAATTCACATTCTAACAGTAATGAGCCGTTTGAATCACTTTGTCTATCAGCAGATCAGGCTGTCTGAAGTAGTTTGCAGTTTGATCCAGCAGAGGGCGCTTTCACACTAAGTTGACCTTTGCTTGCACTCTTGACCTCAACTTCAGGATATGCAAACTTTACATAAGATATTTTGGGGAGTATTTTTTTTTACCCTTTATTAGATAGGACACCTGAAGAGAGACAGGAAGTTGGGGGATTACATGCAGCAAAGGTCCAAGGTCGGATTCGAACCCACGGATGCTGCGATGAGGACTTTCGGCTTCAGTACGTTGGGCGTCACATAACCGCTAGGCTGTCTAACGCCTCATGATATGTAAACTTACATGAAGCAGACTCCTCTCTCTGCAGACAGCAGCCCTCTGCTTCAGTGGAGAGACACAGGGTTACTACAAACCCCCTACCCTCCAAGCTTAATATCTTTCCTCCTGCTAGATAGTGCGTCGCATCACGCACGATCAGACAATCGCTGTACACATCCATTCAACATTTAGGTATTTCAGTTTCCAGTTGTAACATTGTAGCGTGGTGCTTTTGTACTGAAGGTGGACAAAAAAAGGTGGGGCTTTTTATTGACAAGCTATTGACTCTATTTAGTACACTCAAAGGCTCAACAATAAATGAGTTCCCTGATACAGAGGGCAGGTGGAGAGAGAGAGCTTTACACTTGGACTGTTATGATTGATTGTCGGGCACGCCCCGATTTATTTCAAACATGTTTGATATTTAGGGTCTTTTGATGAAAGGGTCCAGCAGAAGTTGTGTGTGTGACTACAATATAATCACGAGAGACAAGGGAGGACTGTAGTCATGGCGACCAACGTTTTTTGTTTGTTTTCACTACAGATCATCA